AGGGTGAAAAGTCAAGCCATCTTATGCAACAGTTAGAATTTACTGAAACCAGCAGTGCTCCTAAATGGAGCTGGGCAGGGGTGGAGGCACAGGTGTCCAGAGCCACCTGGAGTGTATAAATGAGGAGTGGTGAAGGTCATGACACATGGAAGCATATGCCCTCTGTGGTCACAGATTCCGCCTCATGCCTTGGGTGTGTTTCTCTTAAACATCCCTGTGTTAACAGGAAGACAAGATGGAAAAACACACTTGAACTTTCCTTTCTTGGTTATTGTGGTTAAATAAGGATCAGGATAAACAAATAGGCCGAATAGATGTTTATTCAGGGAGAAATAACTTACAACCTAGACAGATGAACACCAGCAAGTTCCACTGGAACCTCTCCTGTCCGAGTCCCGCCAGCCAGAGAGCTTTTCAGGCTCTTCCTCTGACCTCCTTCCACAGGTCACTTCCGCCCATGGCTCCACCCCCAATGGGCGTGGTCAGTGCCACAGAAGGACTATCTTACTACAATTTCCCTTTTAGTCTAAAGAAAAGATTTAGGCTTAATACAAAACTATATATAAAACAGTGAATAACAAGTGTGCTCTAAGAAAAGGAAAATCGAGAACAAAATGACCTACATATCTAGTCCTAGGATGAAGGCATTAAAGAGTTTACAATAGAGTTGTCCTAAGCTGGAAAACGTAAGTCTAGTACCTAATATATCTAACTAGGAAGAGAGAATAATAGTTGTGATAGTTTAATCTTCAACCTCATCAAGACCTAAGAAGGAAAATAACAATACTAGAGTAGACAGGAAGTGCGGATGGACAACTTCCAAAAGGTGCAGCAAGGACAGAAACAGCAAGCCACCTGGACAGTCACCCTAGGTCTCACAGCAACGTTGGTACACCCAGTTTTGGCTAAGGCCAAGAGAACTTGACAGACCACAACAACAGCAGGGAGGTAGAATGGCTATCTTACCCTGACTTGGCAAGGTCCAGCAGTCTTCTATATTTGTTTCCTGCAAGCACATAGGACTGCATGTCCAAATCAGTGGTCACGGTGGGGGCAGTTCTTTGCCCAAGAGGCCATTAGCTGAGGCGAGAATGAACTCCAGCAGGAGCAACAACAGTGTCCAACATATTTTCGGGAAAGTGCACGGTGCTGTCAGGAGCAACAGTGTCTCATGTCAATGGAGTACTAATATTAAAACATTTAAATGTCATGTTCTGCATGTCTATGAAGTGACTGAAGATTAAGCATCTATATCTGACTAATCTCATAGGTACAGGAAACATGAGTGAAGATAATCTGTAATACTCAGGAACTTAGCTAAAAATAACTGATTAAAACTTCCCTGAGTAAAGCAGGAACAAATACTTAAACAATATAACTATATACATATACATACATATAAATCCCTAAAATAGAGGTAGAGTAGAAATGTCAAGACAAGAGGTAGAACTATAAAGGGCAGCATGATAAATATCCCAAATTGTATCAATATACAAAATGTCTTGAATACAAGAAAGTATACATACATAGAATATGGTAAAAAAATAATGTGCATAAAACATCGTAAGTGGAAAGATTTCACACAATATAACAAAATATAAACTTAATTTTACATAGCTTACCACATATACGAATACATAACAATGTAAGCTGTAAAATACTATCTCATTCTTACTCAAATTCACAATAGGCTAATCTACCTATATCCCATCTAAACCATACCTTTCCCAACCATTCCCTATTACTGTCTATAAAACCCGAGTGTAAGCATCACCTTCCATACACAACCCTAAATAACTAAAACCAACCCAAAGACGATGAGTATTATCATCGTAGGGTAGGGAAAGGGGGCGTTGTTATCTTAAGGTTACTTCCTGCTGAAATGGGACGATGATTGCGCCAATGGATCCTGTAGGAAGAAAATTTTTAGCAACAAAATTTCTCAACAGAACTGGCTGTGACATATGTAGCTAGTCACTGTGTGGCAGAAAATTCTTGACTGTAGTTCTATTTGAAACTCTGGCCAGGGTGTACTAAGAAGGTGCACCATTACAGCTAGGTAGTCATGAGTTGTCTCGAGCAAAACAGTCTCAAACTGGTTTTAGGGTGATGTTTGTAGTCCAGATGCATCAGGTTGAGTCAAGTGGAAACAATGATGTGGGGCCCCATCTTCTTTCCGGAGAGTTCGAAGACTGCTGTTAGGAATTGTTACTATTCCTTGTAGAAAACTTAAACATCAATATTAAAGTAAAAATTTCAAGTTTTAAGGTATGCATTAGGGAAAGACAACAATAAGCATTAAAACGTATGTGAGAAAATTAGGATTTCAGAGAGAAAATTGCATATAAGAAATGAGTCCCCAGATTTTGTTTTCTTCTGCCTTACACCAATTGGCTTCTTGATTTAAGGCAGAAACCATGAATTTAATCTTAACAACATGCTTGAATTTAGAGAAGGAAAGCCAAATCCAACTCTAAAGCCAGCATTGGTTTACATAAATTGGGACTTCAGGAATACTAGAGAGTAGAGAGAAATAGATTTCTGTATAGAAATAGTTTACTACAATTAAATATTTATTTATTTATTTATTTTTACCATATATCAGATTCTGCTTCATTAAGTGATTGTTTCTGAAGAGCTGTCTTCTCTTCTGTAGGTACCTACATGTTCAGTGTCTTTTGGCTGTTTGATGATAGGCTTTCTCTGTTTTCCTGTAAGAACAAGAACAGAACACTTCCCCTACCTTTGAGAGGCCTCCGCACACCTCATGGGACCTAATTTGTTGGATGACTTGTCATTTCTCTTCATTAAGATGTTTCTCTTGTTCAACTTGGATCTTGATGAACTTAGATGGTATCCATAGTTTTTCTTCTCCTGTAGATACAAATGCAAAACCCCTACCCCAACGTAACACATATCCTGCTTTCCATTCTGAGGTCAGTACATCCTTGAAGTACACTGGCTGATTTAGTTCAGAAGTTTTTTCTATTGTCCAGTGTCTTTCTGCAGCTGTTTTCCCTTTTTCATCAGCATTAAGAAAGTTTAATGTTAATAAAGCATTCCTATTTATACCTTTAGGGTTACTGCCTGGTGGTAAAGGAATTTGATTATAGAATGAGCAAGTAGGACATTTCCTTACTATTTCCTTGGCTTGTTCCCAAGTGATAGAAAAATCCTTTTTTAAACCTTTGCTGTTCACGTGGTGTTCTTATGAAACTCTGAGGCTTCTAGCACACTTCCTATCAATAAACGATCAATTTCATCATTGCCTTGTGCTAGAGGACTTGGAAGACCCATATGGGATCTGATGTGTGTTATATATATAGGATGAGTCCTCTTTCTGATAGTATCTTGTAGCTGTATAAACAATGAAGTTAATTTTGTATTGTCAGGAATAAATTCTGCAGTCTCAATGTGTAAAACGACTCTCTCTGCGTAATGAGAGTCAGTAACTATATTGAGGGGTTCTTTAAAATCCATAAGTACCATGAGAATGGCATACAATTCTGCCTTTTGTACAGAATTGTAAGGGCTTTGAACCACTTTGCTAATTTTTCCTGATTTATATCCTGCCTTGCCTGATTTGTTTGCATCAGTGTAGAATGTATGAACTCCAGAAATAGGTGTTTTTCTTACAATGCGTGGAAGGATCCAAATCGTTTTCTTTATGAATTTGATTCTCTCAGTTTTGGGATAGTTGTTGCTAATCGTTCCCAAAAAGTTACTGCAAGCTCTCTTCCAATATTTATTATCTTTCCATTAGGAGGAAATTTCCTCATTAGTTAAAGGTACTATAATTTCTGCTGGGTCCCTTCCTATTAGCTGGCAAAGTCTTAATTTACCTTTTATAATCAAGTCAGAGATCTTTTCTATATATGTTTTTAGTTTTTTATTCTGTTTATGTGGTAGGAATATCCATTCTAATATGATATCTTCTCTCTGCATCAAAATCCCTGAAGGATATTCTCTAGATGGTAATACAACCAGAATACAGTCTAGGTTTGGATACACATGGTCCACATGTGCTTCTAGTATCCTCTTTTCTACCCATTCTAATTCCTTCTCAGCTTCAGCTGATAGTTTTCATGGACTATTCAAGTCCTTATCTCCTTTTAGGGCCATTTTCAGGTTTTTCAAATCATGCCCTTCTACTCCAATAATGGTTTGCAGTTGAGAAATCCCTCCTAGTAAATTTTGAAGATCATTAAGAGTCTGGTAGCGATCTCTTCTGATCTGTACTTTCTGTGGTCTAATTTTCTGTAGACCTATTTTATATCCTAGGTAGTTGATAGACTCTCCTTTTTGTATTTTTTCAGGTGCAATTTGTAATCCCCAGCGAGGTAAAACTTCCTTTACTTTCTCAAACATTTTTTCTAATATTTCTCCTTTAGAGTCAGCTAACAATATATCATCCATGTAATGATAGATTATGGATTGTGGAAACTGTTTTTTTCTTTTTTTTTCTCTGTAGAACAAGAACAGGTCATTCCTTTATTGACATGCATAAAATACATCACATTTTCTGTTCTGCTGACGCTATAATTCAATACCAATTCTCCAGCCACATCAGTTATGAGCATAAAGTATATCATGTAACCTCAAATCTCTAACAGTGGAGGGCTTAAACAAGAATGGATGTGCTAGAATAATGCTGCTTCCTTTGATGTGACAGCTGAACATCCATCCATCTCCCTCCCCCTCAGATGGTTTCTTCAGCATGTTAGAGCAGTGAGGACTGGTTTAGTCTCATAACCAAGTTAGAGTGAAGACACTGGTCACATAATACACATGCTCCAGTTTTAAAAAAATTTCTGAATCTTGGGAAACTGTTCTCTTGTTAACTACTTTACAGTTTCTAAAAGCAGTTATTGTCCAAAGCTGGAAGAACTTAAGTCTTCTCAGATGAGCATGTGAATGAATGGAGGGAGGTAAACAAAAAATAAAATTAAAAAAAGATGAGGTATGATAGGGGAGCAGCCGGATAAGAAAATCAAAAAAGGAACAGTAATTTAAAGTTTATTCCAGCTATAATGCAGGTTATTCTGACTTTAAGGTAGCATCACATGGCATACTTCTGAGTCCATTCCCGAGATATTCTGTTGTACTTATCTCTGTCTGTTTTATAGATCCGTGCAATCTCTGGCACTAGGGGGTCATCTGGGTTTGGATCACATAGCAGTGAACAAATGGATAAAAGAACTTTAGAAATAGTTAAAGCAGGAGACCACTGTGATCTTAGAATATCAAGACAAATGCTGCCATTACTGTTAATATTTGGATGATAAATTCTTGTTGTAAATGCAACCTTAGGTGGTTTGAAGGGGTAGTCTGTAGGAAAATGAATTGTCAAAAAGAATACACCACCTTGATATGGGCTGTCATTAGGTCCCATAATTGTGGCTTGCCAATGAAACATGTCATCTCCAACTGGACCTGCAGAACACTGTGCTGGAGGGTCCCGGGCCAAATCACTAAGTTCCTTATTAATCCGTTTCAGCGCCATAGTCTGTGCTTTCCTCCGGGCTCCTCACTATCCCGATGTGTACTCAGAGGCCCGGCCAAAAACTCCTGATGATCCGGGCGGCAAGGAAGGATCGTCTCTTCTTCTCACGCCGGCTCTGCCAGACACAGGCGCCTTTCTCACGGAACTGATCGGAGGTCGGGCCGCGAGGGCGGGGGACCGTGGAAACTGTTTATGAATTATTTCTAACGGTTTTTGTACAAAATATTGACACAGGGTGGGGCTATTTAGCATTCCCTGTGGCAAAACCTTCCATTGATATCTCTTCCCTGGTTGAGAATTATTGTAATTAGGTACCGTGAAGGCAAATTTCTCTTTATCTTGTTCTTGTAAAGGTATAGTGAAGAAGCAATCCTTTAATTCAATAACTATAATAGGCCATTCTTTGGGTATCAAAGAAGGCAAGGGCATTCAAGGCTGTAGAGAGCCCATTGGCTGGATAACTTTATTGATGGCTCTTAGGTCTGTAAGCATTCTCCATTTACCAGATTTCTTTTTGATCACAAATACAGGAGAATTCCAAGGGCTGGTTGATTCCTCGATATGTCCAGCATTTAGCTGTTCCTGAACCAGGCTTTCTAAAGCTTCTAACTTCTCAGAGGTCATAGGCCATTGTCCTACCCAGACAGGTTCCTCTGTTAGCCATTTTAAAGGTAGGGCTTTTGGTTCCTCTGTTTGTTCAGCACTTGTATTCTGTTTTTGTACAGCCTGGATATTTGGTATCTGTCTTGTATAGTATTTTATAATATTTTTTCCACAATCATGAGGTCGTTTATGGTTCCTATCTAATACTGGAGGAATGTTAATCTGTGTATTCCATTGCTGTAATAGATCACGACCCCACAAATTTATCACTACATCAGCCACATATGGTCTCAACCTTCCTCTCTGTCCTTCTGGTCCTATACATTCAATCCATCTCATGCTTTGTTTTTACCTGAGACAGGGTTCCAATCCCTAAGAACTGAACATTTATCTCATGCAGGGGCCATCTTCAAGGCCAAGATTTATTAGATATGATAGTTACACCTGCCCGTGTCCAGTAGAGCATCAAACAGTCTATTATTCATCTTAACTATCAATCTAGGCCTATGACTATTTATAGCGGTTTGCCAAAATATACGTTTTTTATTTCCTTCTGTCATGTTTGATTCAACTTCCATCACTAGTTTTTATAATAGGCACAGAATTTTCTAATTGTCCTGTGGGAGATTGTCTTCCACTGTGACTGGGAATGTTCGGACCACCTGTGATGTGGAGGCCTTTGAGAGGCCCCCCCAAGGAGTTTCCTGATGGTAAAGGGTTTCCTTGCTTGTCTCTGGTCGATCTACACTCATTTGTCCAGTGTCTGCCTTTGCCACACCTTCTACATAAACCAGGAGGCTGAGGCCTTCTGTTTGATTCATTCCTGGGAGTGTTATTTCTAGGGAAGCTTTGCCTACAATTTCTTTTTAGATGTCCTATCTTACCACAGTTATAACATCTGATGTTGATATCCATTCAAACCTTTGGAGATGGCTTCTCCTATCCAAGCTTCTAAGTCACCATAATAAGGAACTTTGTTATCTTGATGTCTTCTCTGACCTTTAGATATGGCTTCTCCTACCCATGCTTCAGTCTTATTGTCATTATACTCAATGTTGCCTGTATATAGGACCCATTCATCCAAGGGTGCTGATCGCATTTTTAAAGGCCAAAGCACCTGTTTGCATTGAGGATTCGCATCCTCATAAGCTAAAGATTCTATGAGTATTCGCCTAGCATCTATGTCTGCTACCTCTAATTGTACTGCCCTAGATAATCTTTCTAGAAAGCGTTCTCTAGGTCCTTGCCTTATCTTGGTATAGGGTTCTATCCTCTCTCCTAATTCATGAACCTTATCCCAAGCATTCAAAGCTGCTGTACTGCATAGAGACAAGGTTATGTTCATCATAGGCAGCTTGGGTTTCTGGGTCAGCATAGAGACCCTCATCAAGAATTTTATCTTGGGGAGCTTTATAACGTTTCTTTAAGCCCTGAAGTTCAAGAGCTTTTGCTTCCTCTCTCCATAAAGCCCTCCATTCTAATTGAGAGAAGTTTTCAAGGACAGCTGATATTAATTGATCCCAATCCTTAGGGGTTACCTTGTTATTCCTTGCCCATGATTCTACTAATTGCTTCACATAAGGTGAGTGCATGCCATAAGAGACTACTGCTTCCTTTATACCTTTTAAATCTTTCATACGTATTGGTTCCCACTGATATGCAACGACACCTTTTGGGTGATTTTCGTTGCTGGTTTTTCATTAATAGATACAGGGAAAGCTCCCCTGACTCTAAATGGTGTGGAAAATTTTAAGTCTTTTTCGTGCCCTGTTACCTGTAATTCTTCTTCTGATGTAACAGACTGAAGGTCTTCTAAAGCCTGAAATCTATTCACCATTGTTTCTTTGAGTGTCTGAACTTCTTGAATCAAATAACTTTCTAGAGACTTCATTGCATCAGTCAGTTTCTTACTTTCTCCAACTACAAATGATTCCATGCTTTTAATCTTCTCATCCTTAGATATTATCTGTGTAAACTGCCTTCCAGAAACAATGTTCTATCTGCTAGCTTGCCATTATCCTCATACATGGAAGAGATTCTATCATCTAGTCTATCTGATGTTCCAGTTTTTAGTAGCTTTCTCCGACCAGGAATGAGCTGTTTCTGCTAGTGTGTTAGTGCATTGTATTGTTTCTGTTCTGGTTATTGAGGTATCTGACATGAAACAAATTCTGTTTTTTACTTGGTCATTTCATGTTCCACGGTTTGTATTCTACCTGTCAGCTCTCCAACGCCATCTTCAATATTCTGAACCTTTCTTTCTATACTTTCTATGCTTTGAATTCTATCATTTTCAATGTTTCGAATCCTTGTTTTTATGCTTTGAATTCTATCATTTTCAATGTTTTGAATCCTTGTTACTAAGTCTCCTATGGTTTGTACAAATTCCTTATTGTTTGCTGTAATCTCAAACCATTTCTTTAAGAATATCATGTTAATGATGAAACCTATTGCTATTACAAAATAAAAGTACATATTAGTCCAGTCATAAGTTTCTTCTGCTAAAATCCCTTCTATATATAAAGTAAAATAATTCCTAAAGTCCTGTATTGTAAAATTATCTGCCATTGTTATGGAACAATTGATTTCAGATATTATATCAGCTTAAATTGCAAAGTATGTTACAATTACCTTAGGTGTAATTCTGCTGTCCTGGAACTTTGATGCTTTTAGTTGTAGATCTCAGCTTGTGGTAGTTACGCCTGGAGGTATACCACCAAATAGCACCTAGCCGCCGAGGCCCGTCTGATCCCGGTTCTGCCCGGAAGTGTACTGCCAAATATTGTCCGGCAGCAGACGATCCTTCTGATTCCAGTTCCGGTAGAATAGCTCTTAACAAACTATGGCAAGCGAAATTTTGTTAAAAGGAGACTTGTGGAATTGCTGGGACGGAAGGACTACCACGGGAAAACGCACAGGCAGGGCAGGTGCCGAGCGGCTCTGCGCGAATGCAAAGTGCAGTGTGGAAATGGGAAAAAAATGAGAAGCGGTGAGTGCCTTCTCAGGTCCACTTTGGCGGCAAAGATCTCCTTTGCAGTAAGGAAGAGGCAAATGTCCCAAAGCTGTGGTGAGTCCACCCGGTTAGGCAAGGGACCCTGCCCCTTGGGGATGGTGGGGGAGGGGAGCAGCATCTGCCGCCTGGGTGAAACCCAGGTCCCCTAAAAATCCTAATCCCGCTTCTGACACCAGATATTGCGGTTAAATAAGGATCAGGATAAACAAATAGGCCGAATAGATGTTTATTCAGGGAGAAATAACTTACAACCTAGACAGATGAACACCAGGGATGCTCTCCTGTCCAAGTCCCACCAGCCAGAGAGCTTTTCAGGCTCTTCCTCTGACGTCCTTCCACTGGTCACTTCCGCCCATGGCTCCACCCCCAATGGGCGTGGTCAGTGCCACAGAAGGACTATCTCACTACACTTGGTCGGCTTGACAATGGTGTCTCTTCACTGAAAAGGCAAGACTCTTAGGCTCTGTGTGGCAAGGGGGATGTTATAGTTGGTGGCAGCAGACACTTGCCCAGCCTGTGCCTGGGAGAATTCTGTTTCTGTAGGTCCTACCGACGCTGCTGCTGGCATTCAGAGCTCCTTCTGGAATTGTGATTCAATCAATCAGATTTGTGCTCCTGAGAAGCAACTCTGGTCTTTCAAAAATAAGACATGGGTTTGCGGAGAGGTCCCAAGGTATTGGCTTTCCAACCTCAAGCCCTCTAGGAACAGTTTAGTGGGTCATGACTACTAGTGCGCAGATTGCTCTCTTCCCGTAGACTCAGGAGCTATATACTCAAGGGGCTGGAAAAGTGAGCTTTATCTATACTCAGAAAGTTAGTTTTCAAAACATTATCTTGACAATTGGAACCAGGAAATCTTAAAAAATGTGCTCTGATGTCAATGTAAGTTTTCTGTGATATCGGGCCTGAAATGTGTGGGGACCATGGATTTTGGAATTTGGAACTGCTAATGGCCTTGAACTTGCTCCATACATCAGGAACTTTTCCTGTACTTCAGCTTTCAGAAGTCATATACATCGCCATTTCTCAACCTGTGGGTCACCATCCTTTCGGGGATCAAAGGACCCTTTAACAGGGGTTGCCTAAGATCATCAGAAACATCAGATATTTGCATTATGATTCATAACAGTAGCAAAATTAGTTATGAAGTAGCAACGAAATAATTTTATGATTTGGGTCACCACACCATGAGAACTGTATTAAAGGGCTGCAGCATTAAGAAGGCTGAGAATCACTGATATATATAGTCTGTCTTCAATATGGGATCCAGGCCAGAGAGTGGAGGATGCCCTCTATTTCTTATCCTAGTGCAGTCCCTCTGCATTCTTGCTGAAATATTGATGTCTGAACCACATGGCCTCATATTTAATTCCACACAATGAGCAGGACTACAATGTGAGAATTAGTGTTGCAGACTTGTGGGAGATGGGGTTCTCCTGATAACTGAACAATTCCTTTTAACTTGAGGGCATTTCTCATTACATTAAGAAACATCTTGTTTTTATTGTTGTCCTTACCCTTGCACCATCTGTTGCTCTGGTAG